TTGTAAGACTTTTCAGCTTTTGCACTAATTCGGGTTTCTTACAAAAAATGACTCAATGATTACAAACTGAAACTTCATCGAAGCATGCCGGAAAAATAATTCACGACCTTCAAAAGTGTTGGAGTGTTGAATGGATTTTCCAGTCGGACAGATCTTCCCGAGTACCTCAATCAAGGGATAAACTACGGATGAAACGATTTTGTTTAATCCAAGACATACCGCTGCTCAATCGAAGCAGGTGTCCACGCGATCGATGAACCGGATTATCCTGCCGTCCTGAAAAAAAACAACGGATGCTCCGACGTTTTTCACTGATGTTACGTCGTTTTTGCCAAATAGGATCTTGTCAGCTCAGTGGATTTTCTAGCACCTGCCATGCCTCCCCTACCCTTTTCTTATCCCGAAGTGATTGCTGTTTTGATATGGTTTTTAGGACTCTCGGGGATTTGTTAAAGCGTGCTATTCTGCCGTGCTAAGGAACAACGCCGTATGAAGCTTTAGGCGTCGCCAAATTCCCTTTAATTAAATACAAATTTATTGAGGAAGGTAATATTTTCCTTCAAATTTTTCATACTATTTTGTTCGCAGCTCAATCTATAGTATCCAAATATTTCAAAGAATAATATAAATTAGTTTCGTCAAAAACACATCTTTTATCCGGGGAAATTCGGCAACTCTCGAATATTCATACGGCGTTTTTCCTTAGCATTGCAGTATTGCTGCGATCGTTTTATAAGCGGTAGGATTGAGTTGAAAGACACGATAAACGTTAATATCTCTCTCGCAGGAACTGATTTGTAAAATTTTCATCTCGCGAAATATTGGCAAGAAACCAAGGGTGTCACTACCGCGGTGGATGACGTCAAAAATCCAACTTTTCCAAGGGCGATGTCTCGGCTAATATTGAACGTAGGAAGTTGCGGTTTGGACAGGTCCTAATATTTTTAGTTAATCCACAAGAATCAAGCATCAAGACACAATTCTGTGACCAGCGCAACTGACCCATCAGAGAGCGGCACAGAGATTGCAATACTCTCCTGCGTATAGGCACTCCAGTCGAACCCAATGCAATTCTGTCTCAGATCTAGGAGTTTTCCAACCCCCGCGAAATTGAGATCCCACGTGCGTCCTGGAAGCGGCTGCGACGCGGATGCATCTAGGGCGCCGCGGCTCACACGTTATCGCGAGCCGGGATAATTTCGCGAAAAGAATCGGCGAATCGGGCGTCCGCGCCGGGTGCAGTCTCCGCTCCAAACTAGATCAATGGGACGCAACATTGATCGTCGATCGTGATCTTGCCCACCGCTCCAAGTCCAGTGCAAGGTGCACGGGGTGCCCAACGGTGCGAGGCCCCCCGCCCCCGCTCCACCCCCTTCGCCCCCCCCACCCCGCCACCCCCTCAAGTTTGTCTGGTGTAATTCGTCATTTCCTCCCGCGTAGCACCATACCCACCGTTGCCGCTTTCACCTTGAGCTCCTTTATCCCCACGGTGGTTCTCTGAGAGAGAGTAGCGCCATTAAATCGTCGCTTGGCTGGCAGGGCGTAACTACATCGTGAGATGAGCCCGGAAAAGCATTGAATTGTTTGAAAGACAGGGTTCATTACAGAGTGTGGTTACACCTTTATGCCAGCCAAGCGACGAAATTTTAGGGAAAGGCGAGGGATTTTCTCTGAGGGACTCTTGAGATTTCCTCTCCAGCCCGGACATTTTTTTTTTAAATTTCAGAAAACTTCTGAACGTTCAAAGTTTTGTGAGAAATCATGTTTTAATAAATAAATACATTTTCAAAAAGGAGGGGAAGCTTAATGGTCGGAGAAAGTGTATGTTTAATATCCCCGAAACGTTAGAAAAATTGAAAATCAAAGAAAACGGGTCATTCCGCACTCGGAATTTTTGCGACACCTCCAACGATTTTCGTATCCACAGATTCAAGCGTGTCAACCAGTCTAGAAAGCCCAGAAACAGTACTAATTTTTTGGGGGCGATTCTGAAGTACCAAAACAGTACGGAAAATCCGCAAGGAAGTCTCTAAAATTCTGGAAAAGTATGCAATTCCTTGCGCATTGGCTCATATTTGCCCGCTGGATCGCGATTCTACAGTCAGTTGGTCCTCTAGCCACCAATGAGCTCTACATTTCATAGCTACGTAATTATTGTAGCTCTTCGCGTGTCAATTTCGATTTTCGAATTTTATTACATAAAGTTACCAAAAAAGTACTGAATTTTCCTGTTGAAGAGGTAATGATTTTTTTTGGGAAAGTACTGATTTTTGCGAACCTAATCCTGTAGACACCCCGAAATTAACTAGTCGCCTCTGAAGCTTGTCTTGAGCCAAAGTGATTTCAGAATACTATAGAATACTCTTCAATAACTTAATTTTGACTATTTGTGAATTTACTTCAAGGCGGTCTCGAATAGGTGTATCCTCCCGCGTAAGATCAATTTTCTCCAGTTTGCGCCACCGATTTGAATCCAATTAAACTTATATCGTTGGATGTCGGCAATTTTACAACAGAGGCGGCTCGGTGCGATAGTGGCACCCGTGAAAGATTGCCTCCTCGACGAACCGTTGATTTTTTCGGTGCCACTTTCCCTGGAGCCCGGGAGCCCGGTGCCGGTGGACAGGGGAAAAATGGTAAACGCACCTAACTACCGGCTAATAGATTCAAATTTAGCTGCCTTTCACGACCCGCGCGGCCATTAGCGATAATTTGCAACTCGTTACTTAGTTCCAAAACGGCACTCTACAACGGCGTGGTCGTCTCTCTTCTCCAAACGGAATACGATACTGAATGTCGTATTCATTTTCCTTCCCTAACTAGGTTTTATCCTCAGAGGAACCCCACAAAATTTACATTATATGTAAGATGTATTAAGGAGGCTTCGCATAATTCAGGATGTCGCGTCGCTCTGATTAATGGAAATGCATGATACAACTATTTTAACGTCAAAGTACCTCAAATAGTAGAGTATTTGAATTTAAGGCGCTCTTGATTACTCATCCGTTTTACTCCGTCACGGACTTACAATTAGAGTCGTATTCGGACCCCGTTAAGCAGACAGGAACCAAGCCACAACAGCTATCGCCAAATGTAATTGGGCAGTTTAATTTTTTCCAAGAAAACGGTTTTGTGGAGTTTCGTGCAAATTTCAGTAAATTGTCTGCATAGTACAAAAAAAATTCCCGGCCCACATGTTCAAAGGAATCCGCACAAACGTCCTCTAGTAAAAAATTAAATTGCCCAGTTAAATTTGGCAGTAACTGATGTGACTTGGCTCCTCTCTGCTAAACGCGGTCCATTTATAGTAGCACCTAAACGGTTCCTTCTCTTTTGGGGAGGAGTCAAATGATTCACATTGTGATTAAAAGAAATTTATTAAGGTAGAGGGAGATCTACCTCAGGATGTCGCGTCGTAGCGATTCACGGAAATGCACGATACAACTATTTAAACTTCAACGTAGCTCATATTGCATAGCTTTTGAATTGGAGGCGCACTTGATTTATCATCTGTTTCACTCTTTCGGACTTACAACGAGAATCTTATTTATAATAGCTTTTTAAACGGTTCCTGTTCCTGTGGAGAAGAGCCAAGTGGTTTACATTGTGATTATGAGAACTTTAAGGAGGTGAAAGGAAGTCTACTTCAGGATGTGGCATGTCGCCGTGCACGGTGACATGTGACTGTGATTCATGAAAATGCATGATACACCTATTTGATACCACATGATACTAACATGTAGAGGTATTTGGAGAATATAATGCTGAAATATCAATTGGACTACACTTTGCTATTAGGAACTACAATTTCTGGCACTTCCGTAAAACTCATGAGTCTGTAAGGAAACTAATGGTACATGAGTTGAATTTAAACTGAACCAGAAATCGTTGTCCCTAATCGGCAAATGTAGTCTGATACATCGGCTAGCCCGTTCTCCTGCTACCCTAAGGTACTCAGGTTATGGTCACCAGCAAGTACCACTGTACTAGAAGTAAAATCAACTTATGATGATTTCAATCGATTTTTGTCATTCGTGTATTTGTAGTGGCAGTGGTCCTAAAATCCCCTCAGTCTCAACGTGGAATAGAACTAGAAAGCGCGTCACTTCCTTTTGTCGCGAGTGACTTCTCGCGATTTAAATTGCTCAGGAACTAAATTGTGACGGGCCAGAAATCCTCGTTTTTTGTTTTGTTTTGTTTTGGAGACAGTATACTTTTCGTCTCCGAATTTGAGCATTGTGAGCGTTCTTACCTAGGTCCCTCTCCTCAGATTTGTCTGCCTTTCTCTTATTCCTCAGTGCTCGGCGATTGCCGAGCAATCATGCTCTCATCATTACTTCCTCCCGATTTCTAAACTGCCGGGAAATCGGGAGATTTTCCAGGTTGGTTTTGGTTTTAACGTAGGAGTTTGTCATCCATCTCAACCAAGGGATATGAATTGATAAATTTGCTCGTACATGGGTGTCTTTGAAAAATATTTGTCTTAAGCAAACCCTTCTTGAACCTTTAAGAAAACTGTTATGCACAGTTTAGCTTTTATTTCCACCGAAGAGCTTCGGATCAACTTGTTAAAAAAGGGCGGTGTCAAAAATTCGCTGATGCTGTTCAATTGATTTTCATAACGAACACCAATTTTGAAGTACGACCCTCTGCAGGCAAACTCTTCAGTTAAGGGTTGTAAGTTTTTGAAAATACGGGGAAAGCCTGGAAAAGTCACGGAATTCCGCTCAACCCTGAAAAGACATGGGAAGGTCAGAAAACTTCGGTGTAGAACTTTGAAAAAAGATGAGGTTGTTCCTAACCTTTTTCTAACTTCTATTTTTCTCTCTACAATTTCACTCAACATTTCATGGGAGAAACGTAAATGAAGAAATAGTTCAAGGGATAAAAAGCGTTTGTTCCCGCCGATTGTCGCATAATGGATTCAACAACTCTTGGTGCGTTTTTCGTACCATTGAGAGGACGTCTTATTCATCAATTTTATGTTTCTTCTGTTACAGAGGACGTCCACAATGACGTTAAGGATGCGCAGTGTGAATCAATTCTGTCCGAATACATCGAACAACACGGTAAAAGTTACCCCATGTCCATAGGCGAGACCATGGACGTTGCTTCAAAGTCGCAGCTTTTATTATATTTGGTAAGTTTCAATCAGCAGAAGAATAATCAGGGATCCATCCCATTCTATCAGGTGCCGCTAAGCTACCTGGATCGCATTTTACAAAAAGGAACCAAGAGCATTTCAATGTCACTAGGGTTGTACGACTTGCACTTTTCGTTATAAAATCATTAGAATCATGCAAAAAAATGCAACAACGAAGGTTGTTCTCGTCTTGAATTTATTGTTTATTGGGAGTAGAGATAGAACTTGTTTAGATGATCAGTTTATATTTAAAAATTAAAAAGTCACACAGTCTTGGCTACGTTGGGATGCTCTTGATGCCTTTTTGCAAAATGCTATCCAAGTGTTTCGAGTACAAGGTTCGGGAAAGAGCCACTCCACCAATTTCCTGCGCCAATCATAAAATCTTAGGACACCCTACGTTTGACGCAATTCGCACCACGTACGCAGGTCATCGTCTTGTCGAAAGTGAACTCGAGTTCAAGTTCAGTTCTCTTTTGCGGTTCATCCGGATGCTTTTCTCACATCGTAGTCGAGTCAATGAATACGCCGCTCGAGTGACAAAAGGACGTAACTGCATTTTGAGATGAGCCCGGGCAAGCATTGAATTATATGGACGACAGGGTTCAATGTGAAATTTAGTTACGTCCTTGTGTCAGGAGGACGACGAAAAGATGCCGTGCTAAGGAACAACACCGTATAAACGTTCAAATGACGTCAAGTTTCTCTCGACGATAAATGATTTATTTGTAAGCAATTTCATGAATATTTTGCATTGGGATTCTCCAATGCGTCAGATTCTATTGAGGGCCTCGTCGATGTTAAAGATCGAACGGCGGGTAATCTAGTTTTACAAAGAACGCAATTGAAAGTTGAAAACGCAGTACCTTTCGAAGCTCTTGAATTATTTGTTGTTCAATTATTTAAAAATCTTACTTTGGGTTTTTTTTGTTTATGTTTGTGTTTTTTTTTCTTCTTTGAGCACTCTTATCTGAAATTGTATGCATCTAACATGTACACATAATAATGTGAGAAATTGGAAGAAAATATAATTAAAGGTGGGACAATTTTTCGTTCGTAATAGGGTAGATTTTCTCATTTGAAAAATGGATTTTAGTAGATTGAAGCATTCCACCGTAATTCATCTAATGATAGGAATTTATCATGCAGTAGAGAGTCACGATTTCGAGCTCATTCATACGAGCACTCATCGTATGGAAGCACTAATGACACACATGCTGTTTCTTAAATTAATCAGAAGTAGTGGCTCCGCATTGGTTTAATTGTTTGATTTCAAAACCGAGAATCTTTTCTTGTTAAGTTCACTCAGTAGTCAATGAATTAAATTAGTCGCATTTCAGGAGTCTGTGCATTGAAGGCTTGGAGGATAAGGCGCAAAAGTGCAGTTTTTGCCGTTTCGAGAAGTACGTTTTTGAAGTTTCATAATTACGTGGAGCCGTATGACGAAGAGAAGTTCAAACTCACTTTTTCATGCTTAAAAATTGGATTTTAGTTGTTAATTTTTTCATAATATATTTTAAGACTAGTTTTAGTAGAGAACATTAATATCTCAATTGTTCAAAATCTGCACTACGCGCCTTGTCCTTCAAGCTCCTAAGTTCTTAATGCAAGAAAAGATCCATAAAGTTTTGTGTTATCAGAAGAAATTTGGCAACGTCATATTATTCATTCGACGTTCTTCCGCAGCGCTGGCGCCGGCGACATTCGCGGTTGCATCGAAAGTAATGAGTAACTGCAGAACCTCAACCACTTCCAGTCTGCGGTTAAGTCCCTTAAGTTGCCGCATTGCCAGCACTATTTTCCTGGTTCATGCCCATTATCGTTGTTGGACAGTTTTCGATGTCCAATTTGCCAACGCTGTCACAATATTCGTAAGAGGTGCAGTTGACACCCCGATGAACATTGACAATGGTCGCGTCATTCCGTGACCTTGAGAAATTCCAACTTTTCATTATTTGTGCCCTTACACGCGGTGCAGAGGGCCTTATAAAGTCCACAGGAATTTAAAATTAAGTTATTGGTACCAACGTTTAAAGGAGTATTTTACAATAGTTTTGAAACAAAAAAAAAAAAAAAAAAACTTCTGAAAATTTGTTCGGATCTATGGAAAGGGACCGTTTCTTCCGGGGAAAAACGTTCCTTAACTTTTCGCCAACGTTTAAAAACACGTTTTTTCTACAACCTAAGAATTTTATCTTGGAATTTAAGAACTGATGTCTCCTTCAATAATTTTGGTCAAAATTTCCAGATTTTCCTCCTACATGCAATCGCAAAAAATTCTTAGGGACCATTTCTTGGGGGTGGGGGGTGATTGAACTTGGAATTTTTCTGTGTATTTTTCAAATTTGGACGTTAATGGTCCTCGTCTTCTCGCTTCCTTTCCCTTTTCGTCCCCGTTTCCCCCATTTTACTCTGCTTTTCTATTTTGTTCTTCAGTACATGTTGGCGGAAGTTCTTATTTAATTTTTCTTTTTCTCATTGATTGTTCCCTCAGGCAAAGAGGCACATGGCTGACTACAAATCGACTCATTGTCCACCTCTGCCAGCGAGGATGTTCCAGAAAGCCCTGAACACGGTGATCATCGATTGATCGCACGAGCCTCCGAATCGACGCGACACCCCAAGCCTCCTTCAAAGTATTATCAAAACGCGAAACTTCAAGTGTCAAATTTTAGAATCGTACACGCGGAATCGGTAGTCCCTTCTCTTTGTAATGTTCCCTTTGGGTTATTTGTTTACCAGGTCTTTATTCCTCTTTTACTCACTTTATCTCGACGTATAAAGTATTAAGCATGATTAATTTCTTTCCCTCGGAGAATCTAGATATTTAATTTAGGTCATTGTTTTTGTTTTACTTTTTTAATATTTTGGTGTATGTGTTTTTTACAATAATATAGACTAGTATTTTCTAAGTTACGACCTTTGTTCTCTGTTTCGTCGCAGCATTGAGTATGGTCCTCATTTGGATGGATGGGTTAAAAACTAACGAAATTTGAACTAATTCATGCAATTAGGAACTACAATTTATAGTCCAGTTTAGAAACAACGTGTGTACTACTAGTTTCCCTATGCAACTAAGTGTTTTCACGGATGAGCTGGAAGCGTAGTTCCTAATTGCAAAATGCAGTCTATTTACATTCCCACGCTGCCACATTTATCCTGAAACAATATTTATTTTTGAGAAGAGAGAACTCTTCTCAAAAATAATGAGTACCTACTCTCCTTGAAAGAAAGTACAATGAATGGGGTTTCCTTCGAAATCTATTCTTTGTATGGATTGCATTTTGCAAAAAGGAACCAAAATCATTCCAATGTTGCCAGGACTGTGCAACTTCTTGCATTCTTCGCAATAAAAGTACTGAAGTCTTGGAAAAAATTAAATTTACGAAGGTAATTTTCGTTTTGAATAGTTTATTTGGAGTGAAGATAAAACTTGTTTAGATGATCAGTTTATATTCGCAAGGTGAAAAAAGTTGCACCATCTTAGCGGCATTGGAATGCTCTTAATTCCTTTTTGTAAAATGCAATCCACATGGAACAAACGGGAAAAGAGCACTCATGTATTTTTTTTTTTTTTTCTTTTTTTTTCCAATTTTGATTTTCTTCGTGAGAAAATTACACATGTAGATTTTGCAATTTCAATTCATCAATTCATCTCAGAGTTTGTAATTTGCAATAATCAAAAACTGCAGGCATTTTATTGTGAGTGCATATAATTACAAAAGTATGGTAAAAAAAATTGAATATTATCTACTTAGTATTTTTGATTAAAGTAATCACAACAACATTTTTTAGGATTAAAAAAGGTCCTCGCCAGAAGGTTTGACAGTAATATCAGTTATTTGGACACACTGAGGCACTTGAACGACGTACACAATGACGTCAGCAACGTTTTCCGCGTCCAGGAGTGGATGAGTATCCACACCAGAACCGATCGCCCGCCACAAACCCGCTTTTCGACGCCCCTCGGTGTCAACACGCCCCGGGATCACAGTACAAACCCGAATTTTGGTCGACAAAAGTTCATGTATAGCCGTATCAGTCAGCGACTTCAAAGCGAATTTAGTCGGGGAGTAAACATTCAGGTGGACGCCCGGTAAACTCACCGTCTTTTCGCCGAAAGGACTGTTTATATTCACAATCTGACAGTTTTCACCATTCGCTCGCATCAGTGGAATCGCCTGTTTCATGCAGTGCAGCGCGCCCATGAAATTGACACCGATCATCGCCATGAGGTCTTCATTACTCACATCTTGGATCGATCCGGGCTTTATGACAGCAGCGCTATTGATGAGGATATGCACTGTCCCAAGTTCGGTTTGGATCCAATCGAATGTCGCTTCGATATCGGTTAATTTGGAAAGGTCGCATTGTCGCGCGTAGAATTTTCCAGGTCCCTCCGTGCCGGCCATTTCTGTCTTCATCTTCTCGTGCCTTCGCGCGAGGCCCACGACTGTTATGCCATGACGGATGAAGGCTTTGGCGGTAGCCAAACCGATTCCTGATGAAGCTCCCGTCACAACAGCTATTTTTCCCATCCAGCGATCCATTTTTATTTTTACGAAATTCAGAAATTCTGGTTACTTGTTAACTATGTCTCAGCTTTCGTCAGGCGTATGCTTGACAAATAAATAGGTATTGCTTAAAAGTCATCGGTGTTTCGCGCACTTCCTCGCCTAGAAATAACGATACCAACAAAGGAAAAGAAAAAAATAATTGCGATTTGTAATTAGTGAACTTGGTACATTAATTAAAGGACGAGAGGTCTATTTTTGATAGTGCAATAACACCCAACATCATAAGTATGAAAAAGGCGATTCGAGTTTCAAGATAATGCTATGAGATGGTGCTTATATTTAAGCCTTATCGAGCTCTTGGTACTTGAAAAAAATTTTATTGAAGTGCAATAGTGCTTCACAGTGAAACGCATGAGTCAGGGTTAGGCGGGACAGAAAGTCAACTCTCTTTTGTTTTGCCGTGTTAAGGAAGAACACCGTATGAGCATTCAAGCGTTGCCATATCTTCTTCATTAAAACCGAATTTACTGGGAAAATTCTGACTATTATTTTCTCCAATTTTCCAGACAATTTTGCTCGCGATTTATTCTGAACTATCTGAAAATTTCAAGGAAATATATGCATGATTCTCTTCAAAAATACATTTTTTATCCGAGGAAATTTCGGAACTTTCGAATGTTCATACGTCGTTCTTCCCTCAGTAGTTCTCGTCTTATACTCTTTGGTTCAAACGAGAAGCGGGTAGTTGTGACTTGTGAGTGACAAGCGCTGATAAATGATAACATTTATCTAGACCCCCTTCTAACTATGGACAATAGCGTTTTTAACAAACCACTGGAGCTGCTATTTAATGAGGCAAAGTAGCAGGGAAAGTAGCAAGGCAAAGTAACGCAGTTATTAAAAGTACTGGAGGGTGAAATTCATCCGATGAGACGGGTTTTTATGCAATGCATTGATTCGTCAAAACTCTGCCTATTGAGACAACGGATGTGAAACTCGAAACCAAAAGCATAATTGGACCACATTTTGCGATTCGGAACTATAATTCCTGGCTCTTCTGTAAAAACACTTACGTGCATAGGGAAACGAATGGTTCATACGTTGTTTCTCAATTGAGCCAGAAATTATAGTTCCGCATTGCAAAATGTAGTTCAATTGGACCACATTTTGCAATTTGGAACTCCAATTCCTGGCTCAGTTTAGAAATGAGGCATCGATGGCGAAACTGCAGAAATGCATATCGACGGTGAAACTACCAAACCACGTATCTCGGTTTGCGACGTCGCAGACTTCCTGTCATACTTCATTTTTTAAATGAAAAACTACTTAACATCCAGTCTTGAAAATGTCTGTGATTTTTCCTCTTCGTGCGGAGAAAATTCAGTGAAAATTTCAAGGAATGATATTGATTTGGTCGACTTCAAAAAAAATAAAATGCGAGCGTAGATTTTTCGACACCGCAAACGAGATACGTGGTTTGGTAGTTTCACCGTCGATATCCTAGTTTGCGGCGCAGTATAATTCCTGTCGTATTATATTTTCTACTTGGAATACTACTAATCGTCCTAATTTGAAATTTTCGGTGATTTTTCTTCACTATCTTTAGAATATTGTGTAAAAATTACAAGTCATCATGTTGGATCGGTCTCCTTTAAAAAAATGAAATAGGGATGGAGACTTTAAAACTCCGCGAACGAGATGTGCACTTTTGCAGTTTTACTGTCAGTATGTGCCATTGGTCTCCCTATGCACTCTAGTGTATTTACGGATGAGCGTGAAATGGTTGTTCCCAATAGCATAATGTAGTACAATTCATTATCGGATTCAATTTTTTGACCTCAAAAGCGACCCACAAACATAATTATTTTCCCAAGAAAAACGGCATTTCCCTGGTAAAAATTGGCAGTAGAATCTGTGTTCCAAAATACCACAGACCTACAGCCGACTGAAAGATTTCCAATAGCTTCTATAGCCGGCAACACAATTTCTTATAGCCTTTTATAGCCGATGGCGATCAAGCAACAGCCTGACGATAAAGTGTATGCTAAACGTTACTAATTACGGATGCTAGGACTTGGTGAGTTTTTGAGCTACCGCTCTCTTTTTGGGCCGTAGTATCTTGATTTATTTTGCGAGGAAAGCTCCGTGCTTTTGAAGGATGCCTGCCATTCCTAATATGTTGGAGCGCCTTCGATTTCGTACGATACTGTGCAATACCTCTGGTGTGGAATAGTTGCTTCAAGCGCCGTGGTACGCTGCGGCGCGGCGCGGCGGGCGGGCAGCCAGCGCGAAACGCGCATTGGCGCCTTCAAACCTAATATAGATACTTCACACATTGCGCAATGCGTGAAGTATCCCTGTTAGGTTTGTAGGCGCCAGTGCGCCGCCGCTCCGCTTTGTGTTAGGCTCTAATATTTAATCTCGTGGAGTCAGCGTTATTCAACTCATGACTTTGAAATGTTTGCACACTCTGTATGGATTATTATTCTCATTTTAATTGATGAAAACAAGTATGTAGTAAAGGAAAATATAATGTGCGTTTTGTAAATATTATGGTGATTCCGTACAAACTGAAGGATTTACAAAGCCCACGAATTTCTACACCATTTCTTATAGCCTTTCATTGCCGATGGCGAAAAAACAACAGCCAGGCGATAAAGTGTAAAGCCCGTCGACAGGAACTATAGCCCGGCTGTTTCATTTTTTATAGCTTCGTGTAGCCCGGCCGCATGATTTTTTCCACTTTCTACAGCCAGCTATATGATTTGCTATCGCCTTCCTCAGTCGGCTATAAGAACTCATGATGTTTTTTGAAACGCAGCTCCTATCGCCAATTTTTACCAGGGTTTCGTGAATTGATAGGTTAAAACGGTAATACGTCTCCCTTCCAGTCATAAAATCCATTTGTATTTTTTTCGCTGAGTCGGAGAATAACGTCGAGCATTCCTGTGACACTGGTGCGAGTATCGATGGAACCTTTTGCCCCCGCCATGTCCGTGACGACAGTGCCGGGATGAACAGCTTCGACCAGGATCCCATCCTGACGCAGTAACTTGGCCAAGGTTTGTGTGCTCGTCCCTAAAGCCGCCTGAAAATAAGAAAATCATAAATTTATATTCTTACAAGACGGCTACGTTGGTTTGGTGGTCAGCGCGTCTGACTTGACTCAGTAGCTCAGTAGGCCCCGGGTTCGAATCCCGGTAGTGGCGTCAAATTTTCACGAGACTGACGAGCAAATCTGCACAAACAGATTCTATTCGGCCTTTTAATCCCGTTTGAAAAGCCTGAAGCATTTGGATGTATCAACTCCCAAATACCATACGTCTATAGGTGGCTATAGATTCCTCACCTAATGAAGGAATAGAAGCTAAATAAAGCGGAAGGTATAAGTATTAATTATTCCATGTTGAAAATTTTAGCCACCTTCCACATTTGGACCACATTTTGCAGTAATTAGGAACCACAATTCCCGTCTCAATTTAGAAACAACGTATACTCTGTTACTTTCCCTATGCACATCAGTGTTTTTACCGATGAGTCAAAAATTGTAGTTCCGAATGTTGCAAAATGTAGTCCATTTTTAAGTTCGTGTCATAGATCTTAAATTACGGCGAGAAGTCGGGCGCTAAGGACATGACATTTTTTTTGTGCAAACTTTTTTACTTGATAACTTCTGACAGCGAGTCCTTAAGAAAGAGCCAATTCAGACGGCAAAAGGAAGTGTTAGCGTATACCTACTGTACCTTACTTTCTCGGTAGCCAAACGCAGGCCGGTATTTGTCTCTCCCAGACAGTGCGATGGAGCCTGCACATGAACTGATGTTTATTACAGCGGCCCTCTGCACGCTCAAGCCTGAAAGTTTAAAACGTAGGTATTGCCTTAATAGTCCAGGCACCTGGTAGCTAAAAATGAGGCTACCTGGAATTTTGGGTACACAGCGATTTTTTTTTTGGCTTACTATATGTTTTTTGGGGTCGCTGAATCCGAATCTGAAGTTTCCTACCGCGTATCTGGTGAGCATTTTCCGCCATTTTGAAAAAATGGCCTAAAAAGGCCTTTTTTGCGGTTTTTTTTATGCAGCGGCTACGCATGAGAAAAAATCCCGGATTTAGCTAATGTTTTGAATAGCTGACAAAATGTGGAAGAAAGTGGTGTATACATATGCTAGGTTTGCTTAAAAATTGAGGGAGATACAGCATCGTGAACATCGCGCACTTCCACGTTTTCGCGGCGCACCCGTTAACGCGTGATCCGGCTCGCTGCGGTCAGCTAAGTTCCGAAGCGTTCCCAAGTTCCGAGATCCGAGGTTCCTCAATTTTTGAGCATACTCATAAACCATTTTCTTCCAAATTTTGTCAGCTATTCAAAACACTAGCTAAATCCGGGATTTTTTTCTCATGCGTAGCCGCTACATAAAAAAACCGCAAAAAAAGGCCCTTTTAGGCCATTTTTTCAAAATGGCGGAAAATGCTCACCAGATACGCGGTAGGAAACTTCAGATTCGGATTTAGCGACCCAAAAAACATAAAGTAAGCCAAAAAAATCGCTGTGTACCCAAAATTCCAGGTAGACTTACCAGGCGCCTGGACTATAATTAAGAAAAATGAATTTTTCGACTCTATCCGAGGAAAAAATAATTTGATATGATTCGATGCGGCGAGACACGTAGTCATTTTGCGGATTACCTCTTAACGCGCCTGTTTTATGGAGACGAAGATACTAAAATTGTAGTTCAATTATAATAATACGTTACGTAAAATAGATTTAAACTGAGTCAAATTGAGAAGGGTAATACGCCGACGAAAGTGGATGCATCCTTTGATCAGTGGAGTGGTACACACATGGTCAGTAGAGTCCATGCCAAATAAGTGTACGAACCTCTAGATTGCGACAGAAGATCGTCTGACGTCACTTTACATGTGAAGCGAATGCAGAAAGCAAAATGGCGGATTTTCTGTCGCAGTCTACGAGTGTGCAAAATTATATGGCTTGGTCTCTAACTTGTACGTCAAGGTATGATTTGCGAGGGAAATTTGCAGATACAGATGGTAAAGCGCGACGCCTTCAATTCCTCGGTTATGCAACGCAAGCATCCGTCGAGCACGAATAATTGCATTTGTTGTCTCGTGGAGTTCATGACGGAGTCCAGGGCCGGATTAAGGGGGTGGTTACATGGGCCGCGGCCCATGACGGTAAATCTAAGGGGCGGCAACAATGTGCAATTTTTTAAAGTGTAGGTATAAAAAAAATCAGATTTATAAAAACAAAATTACAAACGAGAGGAGGCGACAAAATCTCTCATTTCCTGAGAGTATAGTAATTTCTAATTTTTTCGTCTTTCTGTGATACAAGAGACAGCACCTTTAATTAGTCGAGTTAAAAGAGAAACCAAACACGCAATTTGGCCTGGAACGGCGTGACTTAGAGAGACATGGTAACGAGGACTTGAGATGAAAAGGAGAAGCCCTTAGCGCGGCGATCGGCATGTAACCCATATTAGCGCCTACAAGACTGCACGAATACTTCACGCATTGCATCAAACGCAGTGCGGTCATTGCTGTCAGCGTGAAACGGATAGCGCCTACAAGAATGCATGAATACTTCACGCATTGCGCCAAACACGGTGCGGTCTGCGCTGCGCGGCGGCGGAAGTTAAAATCATTGATCCACATTTATGTTTGTTTTATCATAATTTTTTCGTTCATTTCTTATGAATGGAAGGCCTTGTCCACACCGAGATAGGCTTACAGAACTTAACTTTCGCGCAAAGTTCCGTGTACTTTTGCTAGTCGTGTGAACAGGGCTTCCCCAAAAAATGTGTTCAACACAAGTAAATGCGTCTTATGCACCCCTCCCTGACACGTTCATTTGATGGTTTTTATCGAGTTTCAAAACGAATGAGAAAGGGGCGGCAAAATACAGGCGGTCCATGGGCGGCAAGTAGGTGAATCCGGCTATGACGGAGTCAAGGTTACTCGTTTCCACTGAATATTTTTGTTTTATTTCGCGAGACACATCAATGCACTCCGCGCGACTGCTGTTGTTGTCCAGAATCATCTCGAGCCAGCGTTGTTCTTATGCTTTATTCCGCCCTTTGGGAATAATAGGGCAGTACTTTTGGGACAGTCTTTCTATAACGGAATTCGGTATTATATATTATTATACGGGAAGACTTAAAATCAATGAGAATTATTTCCTGTTGTCATGAAATTATTTCGGGAGAGGTCTCCATAGTGATCTCGTGATAGCAATTGGGACACTGTTCGTCAATTTTTACTCAGTTTTACATGGCTCACAGATTATAAATTTGATATTGCATTTTGAAGAATAGCACTAACCGTCATCGTGTAAAGCTTGGGCCGACTTCTTCAGCAGTGGATAAAAAACCTTGAAACAGATAAGTAAAGCAGACACAAAAATAATTCGTAGAAATAATGGTGCATCATATCAATATAGATTCGGTTCACAGCAAACCGGAAATTTAAGAAACGCCGATAAGCACGGGCTTTTCTCTTAAACTGGTTGACAAAATTCTGCATAACACCCGGTTTGAACAAGTTTGGTCTTCATCATTATCTTTTTCTAGACTTCGCTTTAATCCTAATGATATTTCAAAAAATATGAAAGTGCGACTGTACATACGCTCTCCAATTAGGTGAGTCGAGGAAACAATAGTTCAAAGAACCGGCTAGTTACGGTATGGATGACTTCTCGTGGTAACTCATTACAAAAAATTGAGATTACTGATTTAGTATTTAATACTTTATAGTTTAAATAAACTGATGGGTATCATGGATATCAAAAAGTTAAATGACATTTTTGGAAAACTTGAGGTATTAGTAATTTTGAGCTAATGCATGCTATGTGCTATACTCTAAATAACATTTTTTTTATTTGCTTCTAAAGCTCCATTGCGCTATAAGTTTCCATCTAAGATTTCAACTCTAAACATGTTTTTCTTGAAGTCACAAGAATGTAATTTACTCCTTCATCCTTGATGCCCTTCAATTTGACTTTATTTTGCAATTAGGAACTACGATTTTTGGCTCATCCGCAAAACCACTTACGTATATACATAGACAAATTAATGGTGCATACGTAGTTTCTGAACTGAAACGGAAATTGTAGTTCCTTATTTCAACGTGTAATCTAAATGAAGAAGATCCGTGCTTTGCTTTTTGTATAAAGAGGACTGTTTACCTTAGTCAGCAATAAAGGAGCGGCAGTATTGGTGGCCAAAATAGACATGAATTCCTCTCCATTTAAACTTTCAAGATCGTGCATTGTAGTGAAAACACCCGCATTGTTCACCAACAAAGTCAGACCCTCGTCGTCCAAAAGACGTCGAACCTCGTCCGCGACGGTTTCAAAATTTCCAAACTGAGTCACATCTGGAATTTATGTCCTCTGTTTCAGGGCCGCGTTCGGGGAAGAGGGTCACCCTTCATATTAAAATTCTTGTCCCTTCCCAAACGAAATTCTTAAAAATGGGCCTAATTTTCTCATTACACAGTGACACGCAAGTTTCCAAATTTTTCATTTTGGAAGGATGGAAGTCTCCTCTGGAAACAGCTTTGCTCGATAACACTTATATGTATAGTGAGGTTTATTCATTTACCTTATTGACTCAGGTTAATTTTTTTGTCAACAATACAATAGTTACGCTCCTGATAAATGGAAAAAAAACTTCTCGCTGGATTTTCAGTGGGGTAAATGCTGATTTAACAAGGGTACAAGAAATCAACTTCTACCACACCTATAATGGAGTTGATCAATTGATTTCTTGCAAAAAAATGAGTGCATTCATACTAAATTACCTCATCGAATTTAAACCTCAGCTAATTATTTGAAGCAGTTTTCTACTCACCTAATTTTATCAGGTGGAGATTAGTATGAAATTGTTGCAGTTGCTTTAGGTCCTGCAAAAAAACGAGAATAATTCCAGAAAGTTTTAATAAAAACAATTACAAAACTCCACTCAATTTCCACTTTGTATTACCTCAATAATCACAAATTTAGTAAAAACTAATCGAAAAAACCAGATTTGATATCTCAAGACGGAAGGTTACTCCATGCAATGATCTGGCCTAGAAATCCAGGACGTAGTAAATTCGGCCGACGGGATGGACGGACCATGCTGAAAGAAAGACCATCACCTATTATGCTAGATCGCCTTCAATATCTTGATAGGCAATGTGAGCTACTTCGGAGCAGTAATAGTTGCTCGGAGCATTGCGGTCACTTTCGTCCTGTTCATTCATCGCTGTAGCGGCTCGATACTTCATTCACATTATTTCTGACGTGTTTCGGCCAGCTTGCCTTCAACAAAAACATATGATGAACATATAATACAAGTAGCAAATGCTATGGATTTTAAAGTCAAAATTTGTGAGTCCAGAATCGAGAGCGCTTTTGTATTACTCACAGAAGCTTGTTCGGGCGTTCTACAGGCAGCGATGACAACCTGGCATGTTACGGCTGGATTTGTCAAGAACTGCTTCACGAATTCGAGGCCTATCCCACGATTAGCGCCGGTGACGAGGACTGAGTGGATGGACACCATTCTAAATTCGCCGTTCCTTGATTTCAGCCTTTAACAATGAAAACAACTAATAAGCACAGTCTTGTTGTCGCTGAAAAATGTACAAAAAATAGGCCTGCGGCTTCTCAATTAGACATCTGTATGGTTTTCCGATAATGGGTCAATTGTGTGAGTCCTGAGGTGAGTTCTAAATACAAGTAAGTAGAATAAAACATAATGATACATCCAAAAGGCTACTGATCGACTGTTCAATTGAACACATTCTAAATCAACATGGTTGGAAGAGAGTTGATACTCGGGCAGATCTCATGATTTTGTGCTATCATGACCCTACTAGCAACGGCTGTTAAAATTTGTTTTGAAAAAACTCTTAATAATCGTTAAAATTTACAAAGAGGAAAATCCTTTTGGGGATATTTCCACGTAAAAGTTACGAGAGGCAAACTTTAAGTGGAAAAAGTGAAAAAAAAACTCCTTGAAAAAAATTTAAAAAAATGTGAACTTTAAAAAAATGTGATTTTTTGAAGTAAAATTTGCGTAAAAAGTGTTTAAAAACCAGTGTACTATTTCTAAGACTTTTTTAAAAGTCCTTTTTACACTTACTGTACGTATATTTGATCTCTCGTAAATTTTACCTAAAATAACCCAAAAATGGTATCCTTCTTCGTAAATTTTAAAAGTTTTACAAAGAGTAATTTAATTAAAATTTTCAAGTTTTTTAAGAGATATTTTACGGTCCCTGCTAGTAGGGGAAAAGCTCTGAAAATTTAGACCATTCCATAACTAGCATATTTTACTGACGAAGTCCGATTCCGGAAAACAAATAATCGTATACTTAACCTACCAGGCTTCAAAAATGTGCGACACGAAGATGTAATGATGCTTGAGTAGAGACTAAGGGTTCGGAAATTAGAAAATCATCAAGCTCATTATGTACGAGATAAAAAAGAAAAACAGCTCGAAGATAAAATAATTATCGTCTGATAAAGAAAACGCTGAATGCAAGGATTGACATCAGAGTCGATAGTTCCACCCATAATAAAATACTTCAAGTGTGCGAACTTTGAAGGTGCGCGCATTACGTTTTCCAAGTGGTTTGTCAGACTTTCGACTCTGAACCTGAGGATATTGATATTTTTAATCTAGCCGAAGAGAGATTTTCTCGAAGTGACGTTTTCCATTGTGATAAAAATAATTCATTTGACAATTGTTCTGACCCGAGGAAAATTAAGCCTCACGCTAGTTCTCATCATTTCTCACCAGATTTTGTTGGAGCTCTGCATTTTGTGTACTGTCTAGGTGCTTACTTCAACCATAGATTTTTTATGTGATTCTCAATGCCAAAGCTGAAGGAAAATAAGCATGACTTTTTGTCCAGAAAATTGGAAAAAACGAGGAGATAATTATGAATTCCCTTCCAGAAAAGAGCCTCCCAAAAAAAGGGCCTTTTTTGGCCCCTTTTCTGAAACTCGGGGATTTTATTCAAATGTGGCCTAAACGAAACCTTATGATGACCTAAGACTCCAGTAAAAATTTTAGCTTGAGTATTCGTCTGGTTTCGGAGATACAGCGTTGCAAAGTTCGCATATTTAAGCTTTAAAAATCTTCATAGTTTCAAATATTATCTTCCTAAAACCAACATCTGAGTGAACTTTACATTCTAAAACAAAGCGTTAATGAAGCATAATGATAAAAAAAGCCTCCATCAAAAGTTTTAGCTCATGCATGACCCCTGTTTTGGTAGTGCAACGTTGCAAGTTTACCTTTCTGAGCTTTAAAAATGCTCATATTTTTAAGTTTCTTGTTTAAAAACCAATTTTAGTGAATATCAAACTGCGTTTTGAGGGATAAAATTAACCCCTAGTGATACTTTTGGATGCATAATTGCATTGATAAAAGGCTACAATGATTTAAAGTAACACAGCGTTGCAAAGTTTACATCCTAAATCTCTGAAAATGTCTTTTCTCTTGTTTTCTTATGAGAGACAACTCCGATCAAACATGTTTCGATATTGTAAAGTGAAATACAAGGAATCTTGTTAGTTCTAAGTGACAGTTGGTGTAAAAAATGACACTGTTGTCTGTTTATCTTTTTTTTATCTCAACATTTAATCATAAAATAACATTAAAATTAGGATACTTCCAATAATTATCTAATTTCAAAATCAAATTCAAGAGACTTTGCCATGCTCGATGAAATGCTTGTAGCACCAGCATTGCTTTCAAAATCCAACAAATTATGCCTCGCCATAGTTGCCAATTTAACCGTTTTTTTAAGTAAAATGAAAAAAATAAACATAGAATACAGAATTTGCCGAGTTGTTTTAAGTATAAATAAATATTGATCTAGAGAATACATTTATTATGCCTTGCAAAATAGAGTACCTCCACTGTTTTTTTTAAAAAAAGGAAAAAATGAAAAATATTGAAAAAACTTGAAAAAATTAAAAATATTGTAAAAAATTGAAAAAATGAAAAAAATCAAATAAAAATTAAAAATATTGGAAAAAATTGAAAAAATTAATAAAATCAAATAAAAATTAAACAGTAAAATAATATTTAAAAAAAACAAAATTAAGTATCAAGTATTGGAGGCATCTTTATTTTAAAATAATTTTATTATTAATTGTTTGAAAATAAGTATTGATAAACTTAGCAATAGTATTTTTGCGAATACCAATCGTCACTTGGAACTGACATCAGCCCTCGACATTTTACACTGTTATATCTGGCCTGACACCCATTGACGTCCTCTTTAACTAGCATAAATAATAATTTCGAGAGTTTAAAGTTGTTAGCATGGCAACGCTGTATCACCATCAATTAAAGTATCCCTATTTAAGCTACAAATAACACATTTGGTAGATTTCATGCTTCAAATTCTAAAGAAGATCCACGAAAGTAGCTTTTTAAACGCGGGACTTAGAAATATAAACATTTTTAAAGCTCAAATGTATAAACTTAGCAACGCTGTATCATTAAATCTGTACTTATGCTTGCGGTAAGGCCTATACAAAAGACTTATCATATTATAAAGTTTCATCTAAACACCATGCACAGATCTTTTGGTGATCAATAAGTTCGTTTTTTCATTCAGAAACTTACAAAAATGAGCAATTTTTATAGGTCTTTGGTGTCAACTTTGCAACGTTGTATCAAGAGAATCAGCAGTATCACCGTATCAATAGGAATATAGATGTAAAGATAAGACTGACTGTAGGTAAAATGTCACAAAATAACAGATTATATCTGATGGAGTTGTTTTTTAAAGTAAGATATTTGAAAATATGCGAATTTTTAAAGCTTAAATGGACGGATTTAAACAGAAAGGAACCAAGCCACATCGGGATCGAACTGAGAAAAAGAGGTTTGAAGTTTGGCTCCTGCATAAGACTCAATGTAAAAGATAAGCTTCAAGTTCAATTTCTGCAACATTTGCTCCAACAAAAACTTTGAATTTTCGGCGATAGATAGTAGAGCAGTGGTTGAGTTCAAAACCACTCATAACTCAATTTTTTCCAAAATGTGGGTTGGTTCCTTTCTGTTTAACTCAGTCCAAATATGCAAACTTTGCAACGCTGTATCTTGGAAACCAGACGTATACTCAAGCTAAAATTTTTACTGGAGGCTTGTCTCATCATAAGGTTTCATTTAAGCCGCATACGAATGAAATCCCCGAGTTTCAAAAAAGGGGCCACTTTTTGGGAGGCTCTTTGAAAAATGTACGAAGAAAGGAAGGGGCAATGAAATGGACAAATGGTCGCTTGGAAATTGGGGAGGCTGTTTATTAATAGGAGGGGGGCGGCCTCCCCCGTGAAATTTTCAGTATTCAAATCCATCCAGGAAGAATATTTTACTCGGCCCCAACCGCATATCGACGGTGAAATTACCAAACCACGTATCTCGGTTTGCGACGTCGCAGACTTCCTGTCATACTTTATTTTTTAAAGGAAAAACTACTCAACGTCCAGTCTTGAAAATGTCTGTGATTTTTCCTCTTCGTGCGGAGAAAATTCTGTGAAAATTTCAAGGAATGATATTGATTTGGTCTACTTCAAAAAAATAAAATGCGAGCGTAGATTTTTAAACACCGCAAACGAGATACGTGATTTGGTAGTTTCACCGTCGATATATTCAGTTTCTTGCTGCAATCATTATCTACGCCAAACGATGCACGCAGCAAATTAAATGCCAATTCCTATTCGTTTCAAAATGCCCAAAATATCCTATATCGACGGCGTAAGTCGGCAATCACATATCTCGGTTTGCGACGTCGCAGACTTCCTGTCATACTTTATTTTTTAAACGGAAAACTACTCAACGGCACTTCTCTAAAACTGCCATGTTCTACTCTGCGCGAAGAAAATTCTGCAAAAACTTTAAGGAATGATGCCAATTTGTTGTCCTTTAAAAAAATAACCTAGAGGCGGAGATTTTCAGACACCGCAAACGAGATATGTGATTGCCGACTTACACCATCGATGTATCATTGTTTACATACATTCAATAGGGCCAAGTCCGGTGTTGGCAACTTGCAAAAGTCGCCACTGCTCTGTTGTCATGACAACCAAGACAACACTACCCGGCCGCACGCACGAGGGACACGAGGGTAAGTCACCCCGAACATGGTGCCATGAGCCAGTGGCAGCATTGGGTGACCTGCGCTTGTATGTCGTTTAAAAGCACAAGCACATGTGGTGAAAAAAGTCAACTTTACGTAATTTTATTTACCGCAAAATGAAAATTTCTGACAGGAGGTACACGCTGATCATATGTTTCCAGTTGGCGTTAGTGTTGATTGATATTTGCTTCAACGTACTCTCCAGTGTAGTCACCGTCAAGAAAGGATTTCAGTTGACCGGTTACATGTGAGTATTTTAAATATTAACAGCCGTCTATAAATGGACGGCTTAAGTGACACGTAATTGTGAAATGACACGTCTTAATGCAATAAAAGCTGCTAGGACTTTCATATTTTCCAATTAGGATATTTTCTCATGCTGCAGGTCTCTTAATAATTTCCTAACTTCATAAATCTCGCTGATTTTCTGGGGGCAAAAGTTGAAATTCAATGTAAAAAGAACTAATGAAATGATTTAAATACTTGAGATTGTTGTGCTTGCAGTCTTAAGACAAGTAAAAAGCTAAGAGTTTCCTTCATCTCCGCGAGATACCACATGTCATACCAAGTTCGGAGTTCCAATCGTTGCGTGCTTGATGTCCCCATTTAAATTCAACGATGCGAGCATTAAAGACAAATCCACAAGCGTCAGTGAAAAACTCAGATTTCCCTTCATTTTTGCGTGATACCACATCTCATACCGATGATGAAAGTGCAGAAGTGCGTATCTCGATTTTTGACAGTTTTAAGTTAGCTGCATGAACGTGTAATTGAAGATGTCGTCTATCAGCCAGAAAGAGATTATAATCGAAAAAAATCGGGATGTCGCCTAAAACCGTAGAACTTTTTTCGCGTATCTCGGGCTTAATTGCAGGAATGCGTATCTCGTTCAGGCCTGTTCATTTTTTGGCGCGCCTTACGCACAACCAATCACAACGCGCGCTTCTCAGCAGCGTTTCCCGCCAACACCGCACATCAGCTGATCAGCTGTTCTGTGTTTGTTTTCAATGGTTTTCATTTATCTATCTAAAAGAAAAGTTGATGTGGATAAATGTGGATAATAAGGCAGTCCAGAATGCATAATATCAGTGAATGCTGGTGATACGCCGATAGACGAGGGAAGGGGGGGATTAGGTACTGTTACTTGTCATTAATGTTGCATACGCTTGTAATTGAAGGCGGATTATCACTCGAGGGCCCTCCAGTATCATTTCCTCACAGGTATCTACAGTGGACTCTCGATAATTCGAAATTGAAGGGAATCGACTTTTTCTTCGAATTAGCGAGGTTTCGAAATAAAGAGAGTTCGAATTAAAGAGATTCCATGTAGAAAAATTTCGAATTAGAGAGGT